TCTATGTGGATTGAATAAACGAGGGACAAATCTAGTAATGGTGGAAGATGACTGGTTAGGGCTTAAAAATCTCGGAGGGGATTTGGTTTACAATTCATAAGACAAGAGGCAGGCATCCGCAGCATGTAAAACGGGGCACGAAAACAAATGTGTTGTGATCATGGTAATCACAGAGAGACTGCGTGGCTGTCCGTCCTCAGGGTTCCGCCGTGGCCTGCCGGAGGGGCCCCAGCCAAACATTCCCCTGTAGAACCCCCTTTCGGGAAGCCTGCGCAGGTAACCTGAGCTCCTGTTTAACTCAGATTTATTTTACTTTAAGTTGTCCGCTTTTAGAGCTAATTTAGCTACACGCATGCCCTTTCTCAAGATTTTTATCAGGTAGTGGTGAACTTTTAACGAATATAATGGAAAACATTCCCCCATCCTCGAGCACCGAGGGGATTTGAAATGCAGTTGACATCATCGACGTCTTTCATCTGGTCTCCGTAATCAGTTTTATAAAAAGCACATGGCTGCCCTGCTATATCTTGATAAAGAACAGTTTCTGTGTTCCGTTCAAAAACGATCTTCGGAGAACTGTTTTCGATCTTGAGAGATAATGGGGTGCTGTGGGGGGAGGCTGGGAGGATCTGTCTCCTCTTGCCCCGTGTGGGGGCAGGGGGCTGATGGATTCCGCCTCTCAGCTTTGCTCCATCATCCCAGCAACGGCACAGGCAGGGGCTGTCTGGGGAGGGCCTTGGGCCATCCATCGCTCAAATCCAAGTGCATCTGGGGATGTTGGTGAGGCGGCGGCAGCAGCATCTAATGGAAACGAGAGACAGGCATTTGTTCTCATCAGGATGCAAAAGGGGAAAGGGACTGGGACTGAAGACCTTCCGCTTTCTCCAAATGGGCTAATGGGGCGTCTTCCCAGCCAGCTTCGGAGAGTCCCAACTGCGTGGGCCGTAGTCTTAGCGTAATGTTTTCCGCAAATATTGACTGTGCATCCACTGGGTGCCAACCTCGTTCTAAGTGCTTTGAACACAGGTGTCAGTGAGCAAAGTGGAGAAGGAAGACAAACAGGGGCCATCGCAGGATTGTAGGGGTGCTAGAAGGGAGGGGAGCTGTTGAAGGAGGGAAAGCAGAGCCGAGTGCGTGGCCGAGCTGTTCAGATGCCTGCGTTCCTGGGGTTCATGCCTGGCTCCGGCTCCTGATTCCAAACTCTGGGAGGTAGCAGGTGATGGCTCACGTAGTTAGGTTTCTGCCACTCACTTGAGAGACATGGCCTGTGTTCCTGGCTCCTGGTGCTGGACCCGGCCCCGGCCCAGCTCCAACTATTGTAGGCACTGGGGAAGTGAACCAGCAGGTTGGCGTTATTTCTCTCTCAAATAAAAAAATTATACATATTAATAAATAATCATATAAATGAAAGGAGAAAGCAGAACTGAGCAGCGAAGCGAGAACGCCAGGGAGGGAGAGGCCAGGGAAGCAGGCGTCGGACGGCTGGGATGAGACTCCTGGAAAAGGCGTGATTTACTGGAGGCGCCCTCACTCCCTCTAAGACCAGGCACCCCAAATCCCAACCCCGTGACACTGCCGGGTGCCATGGCTTCTGTGCCCATTTCCACCCCCGTGAGTGTGATGCACACTCACATGGCGCACTGGTCGTTCCCAAGACCTGGGGCGCCACCTGCCACCCCTTTCCCCTCGGCTGCTCCTTTGTCTTGCGCCTTTTCCCATCTTAGATAATTTCTCTTTGTTCCCTCGTGGGTTTCTTTTCTTTCACCTGTTTCTTGGACTGTTGCTGTTCTCCGAGGGTCTGTTTGTGCTGCCCCTGCACTTCCCCGGGGTGACTCCACCCACGCCATGTCTTCAACAACCAAGGCGTCTCTGAGCCGGCGCCTTGCTGACCCCACCTCTGTCCACCTGCATGGCTCTGGGAGTCTGAACCTGGACTCCTCGAGCCTGTCCCTCCTGGGGAGTGGTGCCCTGTGGTCCACAGCGCTGCCTCCCAGTCAGTGACAACATCAGAAACCTGGGAGGCACGCCGAGCTGCTTCCTCTCTTTTATCAGCACTAATCAATGTGCACGGGGCTCAGGCGCCAACAGCAACAGCAAACATTCGTTGAGGGTTTACCAGAGGTCAGGCGCTTTGCTCAGAGCTTGACAAGAGGCAACTACAGATGGAGAAACAGGCACAGAGAAGCTGAGTGAGCACCAGACCTGAGACTTGAACCCGGGGAGTGGGACTCGAGGGTGCATCTTTAACCACACATGAGCTGAGGTTGTAGAGATACTTGGGGTCAGATCCCAGCGGCTCCTCAAACCACACCGAACAATCGACTTCATTTCTTAGCACAGAGTCCAGTCACGGGTCTCAGTAGGGAGGAAAGGGAGGGGAGGCTTGGTGTGGGTTTTACTCAGGACAATCCCTTTTGCTGCAGGATGGGTGATGGTGTCACAGAGGGAAGTGAGGATGGTGGGCAGGAGGGGGTCGAAAATTGTGAGGGTGCAGGCATGATGAGGCTCCCATGGGAGCAAAACTGGTAGGCTGGGGAGGAAGGGACAAGAACAAGAGGTGTTTAGGGCTGCAATCCAGAACCTGGCGCCGTGGGGAGCAGGTGGGTGCAAGGAGCAGGGACCGGTCAGGACCACATGTCTGCTATTTCATTCAATTGGATGCTAGCACCCCTTGATTGTACTTTCTCAACTTATCAGGAAAACAACTTTTTATTATAAAAGTCTTACATGTTTATTGTAGAATAGAATTTAGAAAAAAAGAATAAGAGATAAATATTCCACCATTCACTGGTAATCACTATTAGTATTTGGTGTGCGCGTGCACACACACACATATAATTTTAACTATATATATTTACTTTGAATATATGGTGTGTGTTTGCAATATGTGTGTATATTACATACATAAAGTAATATACAGATTACTTCCAAAAGCTCATGAAAAATGGGATTAAACATTGTTTTGGTGCTAAATATATTTAAATCCATGCATATTTTTCACAGTGTGCATTTTCCATGAACTTTTGAAGACTGTTCATAGTTTTTATGGTGTGTTTGAACATGTGTAACACACATGTAAAATGTATATACACAAAAATATTTGAGTTTCATTTTACAAAAATAAGGGTCATTTTATAAATATATATCTTTGTCTAAAAATAACACCAATAACCAATTTATTTAATGTTTTTAAAATGTTATTTTAATGGTGGCATAGCAGTTTTACCTGTCTGCGCATTCCATGATTAATTTAACCGATTCCTTATTGCTGCACGTTAATGTTGCTTCTGAGTTTTAGCTTCCGTAAGTAACTCTTGAAATGAATGTCATTGTTCAGTATTTCAATCTTGGTATTTTCTTAGCTGGGGTTTGGCTGACAAATTGCATCAACTGAGAATGGGCTTACTGATTTATTGCTTTCTTAAACGCTCAGAAGCGGATTTGAGGAATCAAAGGCAGCGTTTCCAAATCGCTCCTTAGAAAGGGATATTAAAACTGCACCTCCCCAGTCAATGAAGGACATTTTCCCGGTTGTTAGGAGTTTCCAAATCTTTGCCAAATGTTAGTTCCTGGGTTACAAGGGAGGGTGGACATTTTTTCTTATGTTAATTGGCTAGATGTATTCTTTTGAGAACTGCTTGTTGGTGCCTTTTGTTCATTTTTGTATTGGGGTGTTTTCCTTTTTTGACTGTTTATGAAAAGACTTGTAATTAAGACTTTAGGATGCAAAAGACACGTTAAAACAGGCTAAATGGAGTTTGTTTTGAGGAGGCAGCGAGACCCAGGAGACCAGGGAGAGAGGAAACGTGGCTTCCAGGTGGACTGCAGGCGTCAGCAACAGCGGCACAGGTTGTTCCTCTCTTCGCCCCTTCCTGAAGGCCGGCGGCCTCACCTCCTGCCATTCTCTCCTTCGTCTCCCCAGCCCCTTGGTTTCCTCTGCCTTCTAATCTTGCTAGCGACTAACTCAGCATGGCGCAGCCCAACCTGCTCACGCTGCAACCGTTCAGTTCCAGCACCCTCAGAAGTCTTGCCTCTGAAGGCAGAATCTGGCCCGCGTGGCTTCTCCTTGGAAGAGTCCATCAGAACCCCGTGGCCAGCCAGGGAGCTGGCCGTCTTTAATCCCATCAGTCAGTCTTTTGTCTGTGGTTGTACACATTTTCCACCTAGCCGTTAGCTTTGTTAAGTTGTTTCTGGAACACGTTCATTTCCCTTTGTTCCCACTGATGCAACCAGCTTCATTCAGTTCTTGGTTGCTTCTCACTTGGGTTTACTACTTAGAGGTCTCCCCCACTCTGGGGATGGCTCCTCCCCTCCTAGTGTCTCTGCCATCAGCAGAGAGATCTCGTACCCCAAGTGCAAGCCCCTTCTTTGTTTTGAGTTTCCCGGTGACCCCTGACAGTTTTCTGGTGAAGTCCAAGGTTCTGTTAAATGGAATAGAGGCTTTCAGTATGGTTCCACCTCCTTCTGCATCCGGGTCTCTGGGGATAGGCCCCCCACTCCCTGGGTTCCTGTCACACCGGGGGGAGGGGGAGCTTAGGAGGTGGCCATGACTTCTCAGGTGCCCAGCCTCGCCATGGGCAGCCCCCTGCCCAGAGCAGCCTCGCCATGGGCAGCCCCCTGCCCGGTGCAGCCTCGCCATGGGCAGCCCCCTGCCCGGTGCAGCCTTTTCAGCTTCTCTTTTTGGCAAACGGTTGTGTGCTCCTCAGCCATCACTCGGCGTCACCTCTCCCGCTCCAGGTTCCGTGACACTTCCCTGGGCTGGGCTAGCCTTCCCTCTTCACGTCAGTGACTCCCCAGTGGCTCACTGGGTTAGACCCATTTTCTTGCCTGTGCTTCTCTCCGTGGGCAGTACTGGAGCACTGGGGACAACCTCTTCCTGCTTTCCAGGGACTGAGAAATGAGGTGGAATTAGTGTTGGTTCCTGAGTATCAGCCGCTGATAGGATATCCTGGTTAATTAAGAGTTATCCTAAATGCTCATTACCATTTTCTCATATTAAGGAAATGAAGTGTTCTCAACACCAGTGAGGTCCCCAGCCGAATCCAATCTCCAACAGTTTAGCATGGATTTCAGGAGCTGGCTGCAGTGGGTTCGCTGGGTAGACAAGCGATTGGGAAGAGGGGCTCTGAGCTGGCAGCCGCTGTTTGGACCTTTGCCAGCCTCGAGCTGTGTGTGTCAGGCGCATCACTTGACCTCTGAGCCACAGGTGCTCGTCTGTCAACGGGCTTCGGAAGCTTCAGTGCAATAGAGCCTTGAGAAACGGGCCAGAGAACACAGGTCAAGTGCTTTGCAAGGGTCTGGCAAAGCAGAAGGCGCATCAGAGTTTTTGCATGAATGATCACGACTCTGATACATCGGTATCATGAGAGTGCTTCTCGGTGCTGAAATATCTCACACAGCATCACAACACGGAAGGAAAACACCATGGTTTCTATTTTCTGGTTGCTTCAGTTCCGGACAGAAAGGACGTCGACTTGTGGGTAGGAGTTCTCCATCGTACGCGTCTCTCCTTCAGAGGCAGCTTCGGTTGTTCAAACCAGAGCAGGTTTGAAAACTACATTTCCTCTTTCTCCTTCTTTAGAAGGAAATCTTTTAGAAGATTCTGACTGCTGCTCACTTCTCGTGGAAGCAGCCCCGGGAGCAGAAGTCTCGCCGGCGTCTGCGCACGTTCAGTCACAGCGGCCGGGACTCTCTGGTTTGGCATTCCGGTTCTGCTGCCGCCGCCGTGAGTTGTCTCCCAGGGCCTCATCTGCTCTGAGCTCTGACACCCACTTGTCCCCTCTGTACCAGGGCTGGATGTGAGGGTCTATCTGTGGACTCCAGCCTGGCGTATACGGAGAGGCGCTTACGTGGGCGTTTAGCTGGTAGAAGCGATTCATTTTCTCAGAAAGCAGCCCTAGTGATTAATGCATGTGGCAACCAGAGAGCAGCTTGTTCAAGTCAACCCAGCTAAGAGGAGTCAACTACGGGGCAGGAAGACCCAGGTGCCGTTTCGTTTTCCTGTTGCGAGCACGTGAAGTGTTGGTTTTGCCAGTCCATTGTGTGATGGGACAGATGCATTTGCTCTCTTCTTTCTCAGATTCAACCCCTGCTTCTACATCCTCAACTGGAGCTGACCTGCAAGATCCCTCCCCGTTCTGTTGGGATTACAATGCTCCCTTCTTGAGCTGGGGTTCGGCAAACTATGGCCTACGGGCCAAAACCCACCTGCTGCCTGTTTCTGCGCTACCCGGGAGCTAAGAATGGTTTCTAAACTGTTGGGGAAGAAAAGTCGAAAGAGTGATGTTTTGTGGCACGTGAAGCTCATCGGAGAGATGCACACCCATTTGGAACTGTGGACGGCCACCCGTGCGCTGCTGGGCAGAGCTGAGCTGTTGGAATGGAGATCCCAGGGCCCTCGGGGCTGAAAGTGTTAACTGTTTGGCCCTGAACAGAGAAAGGTTGCTGCGCTCAGTTAGCAACAGTTGTTTGCAAATATGTTTCTGTCTTTGCCAATGACTGTACTGGCTAGCTTTCTGTCTGTTATCTGAAGGGGTTTGAAAAGTGGCCCTGGGCCATCTTGGGCTCTCCTTCTGCGGCTGCGTTGATGGGAGTGTGGGCCAGGTAAGTTGTCGGAAGTGGACTGGTCGGCTCTCTCGGGCTTCCTGACTGAGGGAGGTCAGTGTTAGTACTGGGGAGTCGCACACCATCTGAGACGAGTGGGTTACCTGGTGAGGAGCCTAGGAAGACTCCTAAGTGGTATTCGGACTCATTAGGGAAAGACTGCTCTGTGAGAGGTGCTAAAAGTAACTTTATTCAATTATTTATTAAACAAGTATAAGACCAGACATTGAAAAGTGAGCCTGGATTTCAGAATCGAGTGGCGGCTGATGCAGCTTTGCCTCCCAACTTCCAGAGCCTCAGTCTATCTCCTGTAAAATGGGCTGCTGTGTAACACTTATCTCCTAGACTTGATCCGAGGATTCAAGGAGGAAGTGCTTAGCTCACTGATTCCCAGTGAACGTGAAAAACAAAGGCCGGTGTAACATGCCAACAGGTTTTCACTAACCTGAGTTTGAACATTAAAATAGAATTTGTGGACTACATTTGGGGAGAAAATTGTGGAAACGTTTTCAAAGGTGAAGGAATTTGGATCTTACTATAAAGTTGCTGAAATGGTGGCGTGACAGCAACGGCCCTCCGCCAGGTTCTGCTATTGGCATGTGGTGGGGAAGACGGGGATGGTTTGAAACTTCCATCTTTGCACAGGGGAGACCCGAAGCAAAGATTCATTCAGCCCTAAATGCCCACAGGGCCTGGGGAGGGAAGGGCCCTAAATGCCACAGGGCCTGGGGAGGGAAGGGCCCTAAATGCCACAGGGCCTGGGGAGGGAAGGGCCCTAAATGCCCACAGGGCCTGGGGGAGGGAAGGACGGCTCTGGGAGATGACTTACCCATCTTGGGTTGTGTTGTGTGCTCTTCCTGTTTAGGTTTTGCCGGGCCGGTTCTCTGAGTTCACAGTTGGTCACGCCGGGAGCAGCACCTGCGGCTGTCACAGCGCAGGAGGGCTGGGCATCTGGGGAAGCTGTGGGATACTCTACTGAGCACCGTGGCAGGAAGCCTCCCCTGGGAGCTGGTGCTCTATGACTCCTCTGTCCCACACAGTTCACTTTTAGGGGATAACTTGGAATCCTACAGGGTGTTACTTGCAAGTGTGTGTTAGATGGTGTATACAGAAATACTTGTGTTTTTAAAATGACTTTATTTTGGGAATAATTTCAGACTTAGAAGTTGCAAAGAGAATCCAAGGATCCCTTTATCCAAAATCCTCAAGCACGTTCACTGTATGCTTCTCTCCATCATCACACAGACCACTGTTTACCACCTGAGAGCAGGCTGCAGATCTGATTCCTTTTTATCCAAATAATTGTGTGTGCATTTTCTAAAACCAAAAGCACTTTCTTATTTGCAACCATGGTATGATGATCAAAATAAGAAGACTAGCACTAACACAGTAGCACCATTTGATTTCCAGACCTTGTCCAGAATTAGCCCTGCTAATGCCCTTCACGGGGACTCTCCCCAGTCTGCAGCCCACGCTGCGTTCAGCTGTCCTGTCTCCTCAGGCTCCGTAATCTAGAACGGTCCCCTGATTTTCCTTGGCTTCCCTGACCTTGACAGCTGTGAGAGTACAGACCCTTTATTTTACAGACCGCCCTTCCATCGGAGTCTATCTGATATTTCCTATGACTACATTCAGATTATGCACTTTCGATACGAATGATGGAGAAGCAAAGCGATGCACCCTCCTCGAGTGCTGTCTGGGGGATGTGCCATTGCTCTGGGCATGGACTTCTTCCAGATTTCTCTCCGTGAAGTGACGCAGTTATTTCTGGTTGTTATCTTTGAAGCCCCCGATTTTTTCTCATGAACTTTTCACCCGCTAGTGTTAGTACCCATTGGTGCTTCTTCCTGAGATAATTAAGTTCATTACCTAATGGTGATTTTAAAAAGCTCCCCTCATTTCTTCTTCATGTAGTTGGTAATCTATTACAAAGAAGAGCTTCTCTTTCTTTCTTTCTTTCTTTCTTTTTCTTTCTTTCTTTCTTTTTTTTTTTTTTTTTTTTTTGATTTAGCCACATCTGGATGGATTCGTGTATCCTTCTTTTATTCTATGGGATCTACCCTGCTGCTATCATTATTTATTTTCCTGCTGAAAGTATCCTAGATTTGGTCATTGGGACCTCTTCAAGCTGGCTCCTGTGTCCTGTTGGCATGCCCTCATCTTTCTTTGAACATTTCCTTAGTTGTCGCTCCCCCTCTTCGTGCAGGAACGACACTAAACCCTGCCTAGGCTTCATATCCGAGTCACGGCACCATTATGTCGCTCCCCCTCTTCGTGGAGGAACGACACAGGACCCTGCGCTGTTCTTTCGTCTGCTCGGCCCTCCCCGGGTTTGCTGCTGGTTCTTCCCAGGTTGGCTACCGACCCTTCCACCTCCGTGGAAGGGCGGTTCCCCCTGCCACTTTCCCCACTTCCGCGGGGGAGCGGCACACCGCCGGCCGGCTCTCTCGGGGGCTGCTCAGGTGTTCCTTCAGGTGGATGTTCCTCTTAGATGTTCCTCATGCATGTTGTCTCTCTCCTCCTTTATAGTCCTGTTCCACCAATCCCAACTCTGCTACCCACACGCCGAGTACGCTGCTCTCCTCCAATCAGGAGCAGGTCCTACAGTTTATTGGTTGAACTGGAGGCAGCTGAGTAGAAGCTGTTTCTCCCTTCTCAGCGCCATATTGTGGGAGAGCAGATGCATAGAATAAGTCTTAATTCCAGTAACTTAGTCTAGTCCGAGTTGCTCCCCACACTTAGTTTTTAGCATAACATGATATTCTAGGTTTATTCTGTTTTCCCCCCTTTAGTCTGAAAAATTGTCATTTCTCCAAGGAGCCCTGGTTTCTTTTATTGGAGAATGTTATTTGAAACCAGAATCTGGGCTCTGGGTGTGCCCATTGCAGCTATTCTAAACCCTCTCATCAGCAGGCGATTAGGAAATGCATCCACCTACACCCATCTACCTGGATATCTATCCATCTATCTATTTCTGTCTATCTATCTATGTCTGTCTATCTATCTATGTCTGTCTATCTATGTTTGTCTATCTATCTATATCTTTTTCTATCATCTATTATATATCTCTATCTCTATTTATCTATCTACCTGTTATCTATCTATATCTCTCTATATCTATCTCTTTTTATCATCTATCTCTATCTATCTCATCTATCATCTCTCTTTATCTATCATCTACCTCTCCGAATCTCTATTATTTATCTATATCTATCTATCATCTATCTACCTATATCTATCTCTATCATCTATCTATATTTATCTATTATCTCTCTATCATCTATCTCTATACCTCTCTCTCTCTCTCTCTCTCTCTCTCTCTATCTCTATCTCTCTACCTACCTACCTGTCATCCATCTATCCTGACCCATCCAATTCCAATCCATCACCGCTGGCCTCACTCTAACCCTCCTCCTCTTTCCCATTCCTATGATTCTGCTTTCCAACAATGAAAAATCTGGTGCTCATACAGATAAAGCAGTTTTAGAGTTGCTAACCCATCCCGCCATGAAAAACAGATTGACTAATTGGAATTCAATCTTCTTTTCCTTTTTGTAACAGCTTTGTGTTTTGATTTTAGCCTGAAGTACTAAGTGTGAATGTAATATTGTGTTCAAAGTTTGCTTGCGTTAGTTCCTCTTATTCTTTTTCAGGGTGACTGTCATTTATTGGAAATGCATTTGGGTTCGTCTGTTTCTGCGTGTGTTCCACTTTGCGTTTTTCTCCCTCTTCGTGTTTTATTCAATTTTTATCTGAGGATGTGGATTAAAAGGCCAGATCTGTACAAAGTCAGTGGAGGTGGTGGGGTGTCCTGCCCTCTCCCTTCTCCCCTGTTCTCATCCCCTCACCCCCTCCACTCTTTCCTTCCTACTCCCTGGGCGTACCAATTACAGTGGTTTCTGGTTTATTCTTCCTGTTTCTTTTTGCACAAATGAGCAGACCGGTGTGTCCTACCTCCTCTTTCCTTACACAAACGTGTATATACAGTTTTTGCATTTTCACTTTTCTCCCAACCGTACACCTCGACCCTCACTCACACAGCGGTTCCCAGGGAACCCCTCCTCTGCTCACGCCCGCACAGCACAGCTCTCAGTGGACACAGCACGCTTTATTCACCCTCTTCTCTGCTGGGCCCCTGGGCTTGTTTAAGGCAGCATGGCGATTTCATGCTGCAGTTAATAATCTGTGTATAGCTACTTCCACGTTGCTAGAGGGCTATCTTTAAGGTAGATTCCAGATTGCTGGAGCCGAAGGGAAGCACGTGTGGAGTTTGAATAGCCTGATTCCCCCTTGCATGCATCCCACCAGCCATGAACAGAGAGCCTGCTCCCTGCAGTTCCACCCACAGGAGGCGCTGTCACCCGAGACTCTTGCCCGGTGTGTTGTCAGAGGGGTGGGCCGGGAAGTGTGTCCCT